GTAAGTTCGCGAAAGGAGAGGAAACCCGGGGAGGATCCCGACTTGCTCCAGCTCTTGTTTTGGTCCAGGGAATCATCGGAAATTATCGGAAAAAATGATGGAGGCTGCCGGTGTCGAGGGCTTTCGGGATTAGGGGGTGAAATGTATCTGCAGTGACGTGTGTTCGTGATAAGGCGAAATTTCAGCACTTTATCCCGTAGGCGTGCATCACGGGTTGACACTCCCCCGACTTACAGTGCAAGAACGGATATATTTTTCCTCTCTTAAAGTGTTATCTGTCTATCTGTGTGTTTATTTGTTTATCTATTTGTCTACTTGACTGCCTATTAATCTGTCTATCTCTCTCCTCTCCTCTCCTCTCCTCCCTTCCCTCTCCTCTCCTCCCTTCCCTCTCCTCTCCTCCCTTCCCTCTCCTCTCCTCTCCTCTCCTCCCTTCCCTCTCCTCTCCTCTCCTCCCTTCCCTCTCCTCTCCTCTCCTCTCCTCTCCTCCCTTCCCTCTCCTCTCCTCTCCTCTCCTCTCCTCTCCTCTCCTCTCCTCTCCTCTCCTCTCCTCTCCTCTCCTCTCCTCTCCTCTCCTCTCCTCTCCTCCCTTCCCTCTCCTCTCCTCTCCTCCCTTCCCTCTCCTCTCCTCTCCTCCCTTCCCTCTCCTCCCTTCCCTCTCCTCTCCTCCCTTCCCTCTCCTCTCCTCCCTTCCCTCTCCTCTCCTCTCCTCTCCTCTCCTCCCTTCCCTCTCCTCTCCTCTCCTCTCCTCTCCCTTCCCTCTCCTCTCCTCCCTTACCTCTCCTCTCCTCTCCTCTCCTCCCTTACCTCTCCTCTCTCTCTCCTCTCCTCCCTTACCTCTCCTCTCTCTCTCCTCTCCTCCCTTACCTCTCCTCTCTCTCTCCTCTCCTCCCTTACCTCTCCTCTCTCTCTCCTCCCTTACCTCTCCTCTCTCTCTCCTCCCTTCCCTCTCCTCTCTCTCTCCTCTCTCTCTCTCTCTCTCCTCTCTCTCTCTCTCTCTCTCTCCTCTCTCTCTCCTCTCTCTCTCTCCTCTCTCTCTCTCCTCTCTCTCTCTCCTCTCTCTCTCTCCTCTCTCTCTCTCTCTCCTCTCTCTCTCCTCTCTCTCTCCTCTCTCTCTCCTCTCTCTCTCTCCTCTCTCCTGTCTCCTCTCTCTGTCTCTCCTCTCTCTTGTTTTGTGTTGTTTTTTTTCTGCCTTTCTGTAGATACTGAGATATCTAGATGCACATATGTACACATACACCCCATATTCTGTCTGTAAGATGAGTAGTTTAAAATAACAAAACTTTTTTGGGGTATAGTCTGTTTCCTACAGCCATGTAGTACAAGGTAAAATATGCCTTTAATAGACAGAATGACTGTAAATAGGACACTTTTTGGTATTTGTTACCAAGAGCTATGCACCCTGTAGTCCAAAAGTCAGGCTATCATGGAAACCCAAACCTAGCCTTTCCATTTATTCCCTAGACAGAGGGCAAGCTCCCAGAATCCCCCCTTTTTTATCACTGAAATATGACGTTAAGAGCTCTGGCTGTGTGAATGTTATGGACTTATTCTCGAAGCAGTGACGCACAGCGGATATTTTTGTCATTTCATGTTAAATAGGAGGTTGTTGCAGCTGTGATTGTGTTGTTTATTAGTTTATTTCATATGCTCTATAAGATGGTAGTGTCCAATTCCCTCTATCTCTGTGTTGCTCTCAGTAACTTTATCCCACTTTCATAATAAGATAGTTGAGCAACTCATTATACTTAGGTATACAATTACAGCAAAATGTAATGGCACTATAATAACCAAAGATAAAACTACACTCAATAATACATGAAGCAATCCATGTAGGCAAAAAATAAATGTCAAATGAAGAAAATAGGTTGCGACAAATACCACCTGGAGAGCAAGACCACGTCAATCAGATGGGGGTCCAGGGGCAGAGCCCCTGATAAGAAAATACGGCAATTGGCAAATCCCCTTGCTTTGGAAAGTTTTTGTTTCATACAGCGATGTTTGTGGATTTCCCAGGAGGGGTGTGGTCATATCATAAACTTTACCAATACATTCATTTTCATCCTGTGCGATGGAAAATAACAAGAGATTCACACATATTACAGTGTGGATAATTGTGAGAAGGAATAATAATGGCAAGAGTGGATGGCTACGTGAACCTAAGGAATTACCCTTTTTTTATAACTATTTGTGTTGAATCGGGGTGCCATGTGGGTGAAACTAAAGGCATTAGGATTACCCTAGTGGAAACTCTCCTGGGTGTGTAGCTCGTAGACTCAGCCTACACAGATACACATTTCGGGTGTCAAGACTCTTGCCTCCTCTTTGTAATATCATAATTGTTTTTTCTGCCTAAGTGTTTTTTGCCTTTTTAACATTTCTCAAGGTCTGTATTTGTCAATTGTTATACGGTATCAAGATGTCAATACACATAGATTCATTTTGTCAACATGAGTACAGTTCATGTCAGTAGACACTTTTCCTTAACACCAAGTCACCA